TTTTTTTTTTTTTTTTTTGCTCCCTAAAGGAAATCATTTTATGCTTCTGCAATATTATTGATTGGGTACTCCATCATTGAACATACCGGATAACTCTCAGGAAGCTATGTTCATTTATGTCAATGCCAAGACATTTCAGAAGGTGGCTAAATAGACTTTAATTGCTCATATTTCTCACACTACTCTTAAGAACACTTTAAAAACAACTCTTCATGTATTAGGGAGATGAATTTAAATTTAGGTTTATGTTTTATTATTTCTGTGAATATAAAATCGAATTGCTTAGTTTCCTTTTTTAGTGTTCATCTATTCCACTGACAGTGATAAAAAATTAATATACTATAAAAGAAAATTACTACTTTATCAATTTTTTCGATACTTGCTTTCAGGTACACCTTCACAGGAATATATACTTTTGAATCACTTATAAAAATTATTGCAAGGGGCTTCTGTTTAGAAGATTTTACTTTCCTTCGAGATCCATGGAACTGGCTCGATTTCACTGTCATTACATTTGCGTAAGTGCCTTTTTTGAGACTTCGAAAGAGAACGTAATTTGGTTTTCTATGAGTGCTTATGCTTTTAAAGAGTAGGTTTGTTTTAACTGTAGAACATGTTGGTGTGATTTACACATTTAAGGTCTGGGTTTTAATTTAGCACAAGAGGTCTTAGAGGTCTAAGTGGCATTTCACTGTGGCATAAAGTCTTTGCAGTAGTTGAAACTATAATTTTCACATGTAACAAACATCTGTCAGCAAATTTCATACGTGCTGCTCTTCCAGCACACACACACACACACACACACACACACACACACACACGCACTCCCTAATATGAAAGCACAAGTATATTCACAATACATCTGTGAAAATGGCTTTTAAATATTACAGCCACAAAATATTCTATTGGCCCCATAGATTTGCACTGACCTTGCCCAGATTATGCACAGCTTCTTTTATTAGTTTAGTAGAATAATAGAAATACTAACATCAAAAAACTCAGCAAATCAAACAGGAAAAAATAAGTTATTTGGTATATTTTGTATTTAATATTTCAAATTATTATTTCATCAGCGAATTGATTATTAAGACTTAGAAATGGACACATTTTCTCTGCCTCTTTCTGTTTCTCTCCCGACCCTTTTCCTTTCTTCCTCTCTTCTTTCCCTTTATGGCTTTCTTCAGCTTTCTTTACCCTCAGACGAAACCCCACCCTTATCTCTTACCCATCTTCACCCAGTACTATGCACAACTTCTGCTCCCCATATTTTTTCCTAGTGGTAAACTTTCCCAGGAAGAGAGCTAGAAAAATAATGGAAAGCCGTTTAGGAGGAGGTGAAAGTAGAGTGTGGAGGAAGGTGGACCAATACCACTTGCCCTCAGCCTTCCTCCAGGAGCTGATGGGCCTCTTGCAGATGTGATGGGGTGGATAGGAGGAGAGGTGGCGCTGACATACTCAGGGTTTCAAATACTGCCTATCTGGTTTTAATTTCATATCCGATTGTTCTCCAAGCTCTCTGGCCTCAGCTCAAAAGAAGGCATATAGGACTTCTGTTTCTTCAAAATAAAATAGCAATAATGGCAGGGGCAACATTGGGCCCCCATAAAATATTTTTCTTCTTGATTTTCCTAAATTTCATTTAAAAGTTACTCTAGGAAAACCTTATTTCATACATAAAGGCAATAAAGCTGTCTGCATTTTCATGCTTAAATTCTGTTGAATGATTGATTGCATGCATTTTTTTCTAACTTGAAACCCTAAAACCACAGCCAAGATTTATTTCCTTTTTACTTAATTCTCCTATGTAATTGTTGATTACATTATTACACATTGACTACATTACTTTCCAAGACGGCAACAGGGATGTATACTTCATGAAGTTTACCTTTAGTTAATGGCCTTAAAAATTATGTGACTAAAGCCACAATGATGGATTCTAATTTTTAATTTGCCACTTACGGTATTTATCATTTAAAATCACCCAAGAAGGTCTTTATAAAAGACCTGCACAAATAATATAAATCCTGCTAAAATCGTGAATAACTCTGATTTAATTCTACAGGTATGTAACAGAATTTGTAAACCTAGGCAATTTTTCAGCTCTTCGCACTTTCAGAGTCTTGAGAGCTTTGAAAACTATTTCTGTAATTCCAGGTAAGAAGTGATTAGAGTAAAGCACAGGCTCCTTGCACCGACAGCTCTTTCTTTGTATCCTGTTATTGTGTTTGTGTGTGAACTCCCTATTACAGATATGTGACGGAGTTTGTGGACCTGGGCAATGTCTCAGCGCTGAGAACATTCAGAGTTCTCCGAGCATTGAAAACGATTTCAGTCATTCCAGGTGAGAGCTAGGTTAAACGCCAAGGCGGGCCGGTCATGTTTTCTCAGCACCAGCCTCTTTGCTTGACATTTAGCACTGCAGAAAATTGGGAATCATAGATTAGGTGTTCACAGAAAATGATTCCTGTTGTCTGGGCATAACTTTTATCAGTCTTGGGGTTTAACGGTTTCTTATGTGAGACCCTGCCATTATTTACATCTCTGTGATTTGTACTTAGAGATATAATGGGTTTTTTTTTTTTTCCACCATGTTAGCTTTACCAAGAATTTGTTTCCTGTTGAATGTGCCAATCTATAATTTCTTATTCATTATAGCCATTGGTGACTATGTATATACAACATAAATTTTGCAAGTCTTTTGCTAACAAAAGACAAGTGAATAAGATAATAAAGAATAGCATGAGTCTGCATGAAGAATTTATTATCTTAAAGTGCAATTATACTTCAAACCACCTTCAGCTTTATAGCAAAACCTTTCCAACTTACAAATAGGAACTTAAAAATATGTATTCAGTCAATTTGTTATAAAACTGACAAGTGACCCTAATGAAAGTGTGGGGTAAGCTTCAGTGGCAAACAAAAAGACAAGACCCTTTCCTTAATATGGGCTTGATGAAGACCAGGAATCTCCCGTTATTTCCTCCGAACATAATGGGATATGGATCTTCATTTCATTGTTTACATCCTTACTTTTCTGGAGTTCACCTCCATAAGTTTCTTCAGTCTTCCATGAAGTGTTTCTCTTCCATTAGCATTGCAAACATTTTTGGACTTATGCATGAAATCTACATTTTCAAAGAGAATTGTGGGAAGTTTTTATTATTTCAGACGCGTTAAGAATTCCCAGTAATAGGATTCTTTCTTTCAGGCCTGAAAACCATTGTGGGAGCCCTGATCCAGTCAGTGAAGAAGCTCTCAGATGTAATGATCCTGACTGTGTTCTGTCTGAGTGTGTTTGCGCTAATTGGGCTACAGCTCTTCATGGGCAACCTGCGGAATAAATGTGTTCAATGGCCTCCCACCAATACTTCCCTGGAGGAACACAGTATAGAGATGAATATAACTGTGAATTACAATGGCACATTTGTAAATGAAACTGTTGTTGAGTTTGACTGGAAATCTTACATTCAAGATTCAAGTAAGAATT